ACTCTTTAATTTATTATTGTTTATATACAATTTTTTTATTTTTTAAGAAGTTCTCTCCTTATGTACATATATTAGTTATTGAGACAAATATTACCATATGCCTCGAATTTATTAAGATGTCCTGTAATATTTTTAGCAATAAGTAAGTTTTTTTTAGTGTTTTAAGATGCTTGTTATTATCATTATTATTAATTATTATTATATTATTAAATTGATATATAATCAATTTAATTTGTGATATTATTATTTTCAGTTATAATTTAAACTCTTCTCTTTTTATGTTTTCAAGACTGACTAGAACTCAGCACTTTAAAGCACTTTTAAAAATAAATATTTAAATATTGATATATATAAATATTATTAGACCAAAGATCTAATCTCGATCACATTGGCGCTTCTTTACTTAATTGATTTATTGGATTAAATGATCTAATTTAACTTATTATTGTAATTTTATAATCTACAATTCTGGTTCCTATTTGTTACGTATAATAGTTTATTATATCAGTATATGTACCAAGCAATATAACTTTGCGGCCGTTTTTTAACTACACGGCAAACTATTGCCATCGAAATTGTCCTTCCACACGGAATGCGATGATAAAGAATACTAGAGGGAACCGCGTGCGAGAATTGGAATATTCCCATCATCCCTCTCCATTTCTCACGTCCAATTTCCACGGCGACAGTGGCTGTTACACCGGGCAGCGCATTATTATTCGCCGTATTAATTTCACTCGTTTAAGTAGTGAATAATTAAGCGCCATATTTCATTAGGGCTAGCTTAATCGCGACGGGACCATCCATAATTAATGGCTGGACGTGCCGAGCGCGCGTATGCATTCTCTCCCGTGCCGAACACTTCGTTAGCCCCTCTCCAGCTGCATTTGGTGGTCATTATTATTTCGGATATCTATAGACATTATTATTGGCAATCGAATTTCTGTATGCATTATTATTAATGTTTTGTCGTTGTGTCTAGGTATCTGAATGTGTACGTGTGCATGATTTTGAGTTCGATTCTAAATTTAACAATATATTTTATAGCTCTTTTATTACAATTAGAATTTCTAATATCGAAAACTTTACAAAGACAATGATTGCATTCAGCAGACCAATCAGCTCAGTAAAACAACATGTCAGATTGTAATTTAGGCTGCATTTATATTATTATGTTTTTTTATTATTTTGCTATTTACTGTTTATTTTTTTATTAATTTTTTATTTTTTTATTATTCAGATACACTTGTCGATTTGACCCTTTACTCTATAAATATATCCTAGTCTATATATCCTTCACCTACATCCGCCAAAACGTGTAAAAAGCTTTGTGCTTGACAGTAGATCGATGAGTTCTAAAAATGATTTACGAGTATTTGCCAAATCAAGATTAATAGTTTTTGCAGTAAATGGATAAACCTCTCGAAGTGGAAATCTTCTTGCATCTAAATATATATCAACTTTTTATAAAGTAAATCGTCTAAAATGTTAAAAAAATAACTGTTTTATAAAATAATTTTAACTCTAACAAAGCAAATAAATTAGATTTAAAAGAAGAGAAAATTAATTTTTTTGAAATTTTTTGCTTATTTACTTTTGAACCATATTAAAATTTACATTAGTATAATATAAATTTGCTTTAATTAACAAAATGTAAATTTCCTATTATTTAATATTAATTATTATTATTGCTCTCAGAAAATTTTTTACTACCGTATTTTTCTGTAATAATTTATATACATTATGCAAGCAATTAACATAAAAGGTTACTGTTGTTTCAGGTGCTACTCTTACGTTTGAAGTTGAACTTATGAATATTAGCGATTCACCCCCAACCGCTAACGTCTTTAAGGAAATCGATGCTGACAAAGACAACCAACTGTCTCGCGAGGAGGTGAGAGCAATGGCAAGATCACTTTAAGTTTTTATTTGGGCCATTTGTGGTGCTGGTAGTAGAAAAATAGTGCTACAAATATCTTAATATATAATATCTTAATATATATCTTAATATATATAAACTATTTGTTTTTATATACATGGCCGAAAATAATACAATATTATAATCCATTTGTATTTTAAATGTTCTATAATACTTATAGATATATTCGTATATCATTATATATCCGAAAACTATTATATTATTTTTCATACATATTCGCATTATATTTGTACAAATAAAATATAACAAAAAATTAAAAAGAATTTTGTAATCATATAATACTTGCTGTGATATATCATGATAATTAAAAGTTAAATAATAAATTGTTTTCATGAGAAATACATTTTACAATATTCACAGACAAAAAGAAATTTGACACACACAGAAATTTAAATTAATTTTCGTATCGCAGGAATAATTTACAGTATATTAATATGCATATTTTAATCCACTTAAATTTTCTGCTGAATTACAAACTTAACAATATTAACTTTATTTTATAAATCTACATATATGTATAATATACTTTATAGAGTATACTTTATAGTTTATGCCAATTTCTATGCAATCGTTTTAATTAATTGGTACATGGTCAATTTTTTGTTTGCAGGTGAGTGATTATCTCCGAAAGCAGGTGATAGAAGCCGAGCAAGCGGGCGCTAGTGAAAATGAAGACGTAAAGAAAATGCTGGCTGATCATGATAAGCTCGTCGAGGAGATTTTCCAGCATGAGGATAAAGATAAGAACGGCTTCATCTCCCACGATGAGTTCAGTGGGCCGAAGCATGATGAGCTCTGAAGTCTTCGTCCTTCATCATCGCGTCTCCAAGCGCCCGTTGTTGATGTCGTCTCAATCGTCGACGATATCGACGCGCCCCGCGCCATCACGTGTTCACCTCTGTATAAAATCACCTCTTCGAGTCCTCTTTCGGGTATTCCCGAAGGATCCAATGATCGATTATGCCGAGTGTACGCGTACTCGAACTTGCAAGACCAAGCAAATTTACCAGCAAACTTTTCTGATATAGCACCACTGGTATCAGCATCAGAGGGATACAATCTTTGGGAATCTCCGGCTCGTCGAGTCGTATTCGTGTTCTTGATTCCAGGAAATTTACAAGAGTAGGTGGACATTTTGATTAACAACGAAGAGCATAAAGTGAAATTGTTTTTTGAAAAATTCGGAAAAAATGGAATCTGGAAGTTTTGAAAACTATTTGATAATCCCAAATAGTTTAAAGATTTCTTTATTTTTTAATTGTTCTAAAGGTGCGATTTCATTCATTTGAAAAATCACGATTACACCCCGCGAACCATCTTATACGCACAAGATTAATCGAGAATCTGTAGAGGAAATATTGATCAATTTCCGATATAATTTTCATCTGAACCTTTCTTATATTAGCACATCTTTCTAGAAAGATTTGCAATTTTTATCGCTCAATATTATTTATTTTATTTATCTTTTATTTATCAATCTCATTTTAAAAATCTTTATACCACAATACAAAACAATTATTTCTGCAGTTACTTATAGATAATTTATATTGCGCAGAATTATGATTCCTTTACCAAATAAAGTTTCTGATACAACAAATTTTTCGTTGACTAAATCGTGAAAATATATATCAAATCTATAATCTTTAAATAATCAATATATTAGTTTTTTCCTTTGTTATTTTCAATTGTTTTAAAAATTTGTGGACTTTTACAAAGATCCTTGAAAATTTCACGGATATTCCTAAGGGAAACATTCCGGCGGAACATCATTGTACATTTTAATACGATATAAACAAAAAAATATACGAATGTCGAATGATTGCACTGTAGTGGCGTGAAGTGAGGCTGTGTATGTTTCGCGCTATATATATTATATAAAAATATAAAGGGAGAAAGAGAGAGAGAAAGAGAGAGAGAGAGAGAGAAAGAGAAAGAAAGAGAAATTGTGATTGAGCGAGATAAAGGTGTGATGGAAAGAGTGTTTTTTCTACATGATTATAAATGTTAGCATAAAAAGCATCGACGTATGGTGCTGAAAATCACATGCGTTCTGTCCTACTCTCAAAGCTTCCACCAATCTGTCCCAGTTATAACGATCCTTTGCTCGAGAGTTGCGCGCGCGCGATATTCACGTAGGAGACAAGAAGAGGATGACGAAGAAAAAGAGGAAGAGGAAATATCCCGAGGATGCGTAGTGGAGATGAATATGGTCGCTCTTACGCGAGCATCCCCCTATCGTCGCATTATTACATTTTAACTGATACGTTTTTATTACTACATTATATTGTATGTTGTTAAAGTTGGATGATGGTTAATAATAAATCGTGTGTCTCGAGCACAGTTTGTTATATAACTACCTCTTTCAATTTCTGCATCCCTGTCTGAAAGTTTATTCGCAAGTTATAAATGCGATGGAATATTTTATGGATTTGCAATCAAATATTTTTACACATATATTTGCCACAATTAATTTTTGTACATAATGACATTTCTCGAATAACTTTTTATCTCATTTTGCTTTGGAACAATAATGTTTTCGGAGATATTAATAATATTAATCATTTTTATTATTTTTTATTATTTGAAGTGTCATTATCTAGAGTGTTTAAGATTAAAAGTAAAAAATTTATTGCATTAAAAACTATTATTTTATTAATCATTAATTTTTTTATGTAAACAAGAACTGAAGAGAAAACAAAGTTTAAATTTTGGAATTTAAGAGAATTGAAATACGTTTTTAAAGCTTAGTTTATAATTTATAATTAATTAATAATTATTCAGCCTTATATTTAATCGTTTATATTATATTTAATATAAAACTTACCTTTTACATTATAAAAAAATCAGGGTTGAAAAATCCAGAAAGTATTCTGGATAAATCTTAAAACAAGATGCCTTTCTCTGAAAAAATGAAATATTTTGAAGGAAAAGGAGAATTACATTACATATTCATATCTATTTTTATAATTGCTTTTCCTTTTATTTAAAGAATCATTTCCACAGAAAGTTACAATGAATGTGATTATGCGTTTCTACGAAACGCAATAATAAAATGATGATTAAAATAATTAAGCTGCTAGGCAGATTTATGTCGTCCGGTATGTGTTTGCTATTCGACAGGAATTCTAGAATCTAGAATATATTTACTTCGTATGCAAAATGGCTGTTTCTTCGTTGTAAATGGATCGATGCGAACAAAAGCATCGATTACTCGGAGTAGTCGCTCTTAAAAATCGATTATAAAAATTCGTCGAGGCACGTGGTGTTATGTGATTGTCAAGTCGACCCTGTCTTCCGCGATTCGAATCTTCCGAGAAGTACTGAGTACGATATATACGTAAAATGTATATAATATACGCACAACACGTGTAATAACTTTCAAAGAGGCAAAAGAAAACGTAAACAACTTGAAACTTTCAGAAATTTCTATACAAAATAAGGAAAATTTTATAAAACAAAAAAATTTTTTTATAGGACTTACTTAACAAAAATCTATCTATAAGAACATTCCTAAATAATAATTCTTAATACGTATTCGAGATATTGTTTCTCGTCCGCGAATGACGTGTTAAGAGAAATACCTGTTCTCAATCATTGGCTTAAGCCTAAATCACCGATTAATATTTATTTAATTCAACAAAACTATAGTATCTTTTTCCTGTTTTTTTTTTGCTCATACTTATTATCCTACCTTAACAAATCGAATGACAGGTGCATATGAAGTGCACATGGGGCTTCACGCGAATATTAAATTCGACAAACGTCAGCGACGTGTCGTAGAGTCGATCGTCGATACTGTCTGATCTCGGAGCGTCCTGGTAATAGGGGAAAACAGGATCCTATAGTCGAAGATCTACGACGAAGAGGTCGCAATGTTTTCACCGAGCTTCCATTGTTCCGCTTCTTCGTAGTATTAACTTTCCGTTCTTTCTTCATCTCGTTTCGTGAGAGCATGTCGTGGCCTTCGAGTATTATCACAGTCAATAGCCCTTGATGTAGGCGGCGATGTGCTTCTTCTCTTCTTCCGAGAGACCGTTCTTTAACGTTCTACGCACTGAAAGAGAAGCATAACATAGTGGTTTGCGCTAATAATATTTTTTATTTTCTCGTAAGCAAATGTGACATAAAACTTTTTAAATGAGTCACGCTTACATTTCTTTCACCTTCCTTTTACGTAATAATATACAAATTATCTTTTATAATATTTTTTTATAAAAAAATATTT